TGGAGAGGAGGTGACATCACTGTTGTTGAAAATCACCCTGCATTGTTCTTCGGAGGCAGCATTATTTCCTAATTATCCTCCTAGATGGAAGAATTGAACTGAGGAGACTAGTTTATACACTTGCCATTTTTAAAGGGATGATATTCATACTATGTAGCCTCAGAGCTTCGTTTAGTGCTTTATAACCAAAATGTCATGTACTTTCTTGGAGAACATACTGAACATTTTGATCTGTTTGTTCTTAAAGGGAATTTACACTGGGCGAGTCCTCACTCTTCAGGAATTGTTAGTACAAGTGGGAAAACTGAATGACGAAGCTGTCCGAGGTCAGTGGGCAAATCTGTCCTGGGAGCTGCTCTATGCTACAAATGATGATGAGGAACGCTACAGCATCCAGGCACACCCAGTCCTTCTGCGAAACCTCACTGTGCAGGCTGCCGACCCCCCGCTCGGCTACCCCGTTTATTCCTCTGAACTTCTGCATCTGCCTTTGTTCTAGAATGTCGGTAGCACTGGTTTGTTGTGTTTTTTTTTTTTTAATTATGGTGATGATGTGTTTTCCATCTGCATGTTGGGAATCAAATGTTCATGCTACATTTATAGACTACAAATAAGATTTTACTCTCAACACAGCGTTGGGTGGCAGTGCCAAGCCAGCGTACCTAATTTGCACAGAAATGGTGCTACCCAGAACCTTCAGCAGGCAGGAAATTTTGAACTGTTTTCTTGCTGCTGGAACATGTGAGACACCATTGCCTGTGTGGCTGACGAGCCAGGAGATGCTGAAATTCTCTTCTCCAGTTTAGAGGAGAGCAGCATAATTCTGATCATTAACTATTTTTGGTGCGTTCTGATTTTTATTTTTATTTTTATTTTTTTCCTTGGACAGGTGACTTGCACTGACAGTCAGGTTACAGCTCCCTGTAGTACTGTCAACCACAGAGTTGGTAACCAAAGTGTACATATGACTATTTATATGAATTTTTTTTATTCTGGCCTTTTTGTATTGGACTGAGTTCAGTTTTAGCATTTGTTATAGTATATGACTTCCGCTGATCTTCCTTAGTTGTAGTAAGTTATCAGCCGTGCTTTAACAAAGTAAATTGTAAAGGATGATTTTTACTGAAGCACTTGTTTTGGGGGCAAAGAGAATTTTTATAAAACAGTGTGCATTCTGACACATATCATAACCTGTGTGACCTACTGATGAAAGAAGTAAACATGTAATTAGAGGAGAGAAGGAATTTAAGTCCAAATGGATTAATTTTCTCATTCTTCCAATATCCATATATTTTTACATATATGTTGTTGTTTGCAATCTGTGTTCACATCACTAACCAGTCTTCCACAAATACGGTCAGAGCTTGATGGGGGGGCCAGGAGGGAGGCAGAAATCCAGCTGTCCATGCCAGAAGTAATTTATTGTTTTTAACCTCACCACAGCTTAGAACAGAATTTGGCAATGGGTTTGTAATATTACAGGTCTCCTTGAAAACAGGTCGCAGCCTTTACCCTGTTTGTTACCACTGGTGATTACCACACAAATGTGTTTTCTCTGTTGATCAGTTGTTATTGCAAGCTTACTGCTGGCACATGCTGAGCAGGGAGCAGGTAATTGTCTTTAACCTGTAGAATCAATTTAAATCAGACCTGTCCCATAACTGCCTTAGTACTGGTTTAGAACACCCAGCATTGTATAATTTGGAACGTGTTCATTAATTTTATTCCTCACCTTTACGACCTTTTTGTATTGGATAAAATTTGTCACAGGACTGTGTAGTGTGTACTTGGCTATTAGCAATTTCTTTTGATCAGTGACCGTAAATGATTTTTTTAAAAAATATGCAAACCACATAGTACAATTCAGAAGTGGTAAGGAAACACCTGTCAAACTCCATGGTACAATGCTCTAACTTATGGGATGAAATTCACGGAGAGAATTAATGGAAGCAGCCTTTAGAAGGCGATTGGTGTGTGGGAGCGTAAATAACAACGTGCTGATAACCTAAAATCACCTTGCTTGGCCATGACCTGTGTCTGGAAGCACAGAATCACAGGAGCAGATCTGGAAGGGCTTTTAGAGAGCACCTACTTCCGCTCCGTCTCAAAAGGAACTAGTCCTGGTAAATGTTGAATCTGATTTAAAGCTTCCAATATCAGGAGTATCATGAGCTTGTCAAGTCATTTGCTCCGGTTCTTTGCTGTTCTAGCAGCAGTTGGAAAGTTGGGTTTGTTTCATAAATCTAATTAAACCTCCCTGCCTCATTGTAAACCTCTTACTACTTGTTTTGTGTATGGTCACAGAAAATTGAATTACCTTTTTTTTTTTTTTGTGGCAGCAGCAGTCTTGTGTTTGAAGATGGCTGTAATTTCTGCCCTCATTCTTTGTCTTCTGTAAACCGAATAAACTAGTTGAGAAACAACTGAAGAGCTGTGATCTTTTTCTCTTGCTTTCCCCTGGTTCCCTCCATCTGGTGCCCAGCCTCCCTCAGCAGTGTTGCTGGCACCACCCCGGTGTTCCAGCAGAGAATCCTGATGGGACCAGATGGAGGAGCAGAGCCAGGGCTGTGCAGAATTCCCGTTTGGGCACAGGAAGGTGGAGTGGGGCTCTAAGGCGCTGCAGCATCCTGTCCCCTGCTACCGCAGGCAGCGTGTCCTGCTGCCCCTTACTTGTTCACATACTGAGCCAGTTGGTGCATCCCAGCCTGTTTTGCAGCAGTGTGACCCAGATTCACATGACGATTTTCTGCAACCCTCTTCAGATTCTTTTTTTGGCAGAAACACGAGTTACAGCCTCTTGTTCTGTACCACAGATTTGTGCAGCTGAGTGTCCCTGTAAGTGTGTTGTGTTGTTTCTGTGCTCTTGAACTGTGTCCTGTTTGTTTTGGAGTTATTTCTTTGATTTAGCAGAAATTCAGACCACCTTCAAGCCTGATCTTGTCTGCAGCTCTTGTAAGCATGTAATATATGCTGCTATTTGGATTACAGCCAGAATCCCAAGACTGGACTGAGTGTCTGGGCCTGACTTTATGCCAGGCCACCCCACCAGTTTCCCGTGTGACTCCCAAGAACTGCTCCATGTTTTCTACCCAGGTGTGTGCATCAGCTTTACTTAATTCCTACCGACACCTACTTGCTTTACAGATGACGATGTTCATCACACGAAGGTAAGACACCTTCATTTTGTGGCTTTGGAGCACCTTTACTTAACGAGGTAACTTTTCTCGAGTTTTAAATCCTCACTAGAGGATTTTCAGCCCCTTTTTTGAGCCTTTTTCAAAAATACTAAATCCTAGAGACTGCCTCTGTCCCACTCGTACCATAAAGCCACAGGAATTGGTTTAATGGAACAAAGTGTTAGGGAAGTGAAGTTTTCAAATAGCAAATGCTTTGTCCTTTTCAGAAAGCTTCTGCTTTCAGCCTTTTCCTTGGATATTGGCTTCCTCTCTGAAGAGGTCCCTGTCCCCCCTCCACTGTTGCTGGGAGTGGCAGCAGCCCAGGCTTGGGAAGGTGAGTCTGTGTTGACATGTCTCGCAGCTCCTGCCTCAGCTCGGGCAAGGGGTTGGAGCTCTGAGCGCAGAGCCTGACAGGATTTTGGTAGAGCAGAAGCGGATAAACCTGCCTGTGAGCTGAGCGCCAGCCGCCTGCTGCGTGCGGTCCCGCCAGCTCCTCTGGATTAGGGGCCGGAAGCTGAAGCATCCTGTGAACATCATCTGCATGTGCGTTGTATTAAGAGTTGCTGCGTTTCATCATGCAGGCTCGCCGCTGCCTCTTTAGCACATTTCACAAACTGCCATGTAGGAACTGCTTTTAGAAGTGACATGAACCTTCTGTTCTCCCAGAACAGCATGAGACGAACATGTGTCTCCTTGTTTGATTAGTCTTTTTGGGTTTTTTTTTTTCTGGACAGTATTTTCCATCTTTGTTAAATGTCAGAAATGTCACTCTTGGCTCATTTTTTGCTGTGCTTGGAAAGTTTCAGTAATTTATAAATGGGTAATTATTCTTTTGTTATCACTCAGTGATGTAAGAATTTTTCTTACCTGGATAGCGTGTGGCTGGAGGTACATCCAGACATTTCTGAGGACTTTTCAACAGCATGAAGGTCACCAAGCTTGTGAGTACAAATGAGATACTACTACAGAGATACTTTTAGCAAAAAATTGAATTGGGTGTCAGTAAACGTTTTTAAAACTACAGTCCTGAGTTCCTCCTGGCTGCTGCTGTCCAGTACATCACCCATGCTGTTGAGATTGGCCTCTGCTCTGTAGGGAAGGGCCTGTTTGAGCTGGGAACTCTGCTTCTCTTCTAAGCAGTTCAACTGCAACATCTGCCCTAGTTCAGCTCTGCCACCAGCACTGCTATCCCGGCTGTAAGCAGTCTGCTGTGGAATGGATTTCTCCTTAATCCCACGCCCACTCTTGCAGCCAGAGGCTGTCCTGCCTCTCCTCTCCTCTCTGATTGAAGCTGGGCAAGTTCAGAGCAAGGCTGAGCACTGCCTGCGAGGGGTTACAGTGACCCTATTGCTCTCCCCCTCCCACACTCCTCTGGGTGCTGCCCCATCCTCAGCCTTTACAGAACCACTAGAAGACAGGACTGTGGGCTCCACAGCGGTGCTAAGAGACCTGAACATTAAGTAGTTCTTAATACTGTGCCAGAACTTGAGGGATTTAGCCCTAAATACAAATTTTCCTCTCAGACCACCTGTACAGCAAAGATGAAATATAATCTCCTTTTCTGCAAGGAACACTTCACAAACAGCGACCAACACCTTCTTACCCTTTATATCACAAGCTGCCACTTGGACAGTGAGCAAAAAAGCCACTCCACATTAGGAGTGAAAGTAAGGGAAGCAGGACCCTAGGGGTATATAATTTTTAGCCCACTCACCAAGTATTTGCCAACATCATAGCAGCAGAAATACAAAATAATGCTGCCTGGCTTCTTCTGTCTCCATTCTTGAAAGCTTAAATATTCAGCCTATGAGAGTTTGACAGGTATGTTTAGAGAGACTTTTATTTAGGCAAGTATGTATACAGCTTGATAGATTTGTCAAGTTACATGATGACAAAGGCACAAGAGATAAAAAACAGCTTTTGTTTGCAGTCACATAATATGAAAAATGTTTCTCAGCCTTAGCACAAGCAGGATTTTGTACATGTTTGTCCTTACTTCTTCTTTCTTGAGTAAGAGGCATCAGCATCCTGGAGTGAGAGCACATTAAATCAGTATTTTCCCCCCGCTTAAGTCCTTTGCCCACAGTGTTATTTTGTTTGAGCCAGCTTGTGACAGTGAGCAGTTACAGCATGAAGTAGGAAGTTTTAAGGTGCCACCCTTATTCTTGCATTTCCTGCTATTGCAGTACTTTAACATGGGGGTTTTTTGTACTGAGTTCAACAAAAACACAGTTAAGAAAAATCCCATCTACCAAGCAGGCCTGCAGGAACAGACCACTGCACTGCATTTCTCTGCAGGGGTGTAAGTGCATGTGAAGAGCCCTGACAGCCAGCAGTGTTGTGTAACGTACTTCTGGGAGGTGCTCCAGTTACGTACCCGATACAAAAACTAGACACAGCCAGGGGAGGTATTTTCAACGGCCTTAAATTATTTAACACAACTTGGAATTACGCTAGTGACCTCCAGCTCAGCTCTGTGCTAAGGGTGAGATCTGAACTTGCAGCCTGTGTGATGAAGACCAGAGCAAGCCCTTTGGCACCACACGATGGCCTGACTTCACCGCTGTGTGATGTGGCCACGCTGCAGTAATTCTAGACTAGAAGGCATGCAGCGATGAAGTTTGGCCTGGCAGCAGCTGCTGGGGAAGCGAGGAGGGGAAAAAGAAATGGATCCAAAATGCAATCCCAGAATTCCCATGGCTAAAGAGTCTGTCAGCAGAGTTAAAAAAAGCAAGCAGAGGAGTGAGGAATAAACTTACCACCCCGCTCTTAAAGTTCTGTATCCTCCTCTTGCCCATCCTGTTCATCAGCCACCAAGCCCAGGTGGGCGCATACTGCCAGAGGTAGCAAACAGCCAGGTAGGGATGGTCGCTGATCCAAGCCTCCTTCAGGTCATTGGCCATGCTGACCAGGGTGAGCCGGACGCAGCGGTCCGTCGGCATCTTGTGGGACTGATCACCGCTGTTCTCTATGGACTGGAGGGAAGAGCAAGTGAGGAGGGATTAGAATGGGGTCTCTGGGAGCAACAGAGGGAGAGAAAGGGCCAGGCTCTCTGCAATGGACACACTCCTCCCAGTTTCTCCACTGCGTGCAAGTGGAATAACTGGCCCATACAGCAGAGACTGGGGCCGGGGCACCCATCCTTCACCAGCCTCTAATATTTTTAACCACCTTCCTTAAGCAGGCATGCTGAAATAAAGCACCCTTTTAATGAATGCCTCAACTGATGGGTCAAAGGTTAAACAAAATGGCTGTCCAAAACTCCCTTGTGCTTCAGCATGGCTTCTGCTTTATCATGGAACAGATCTGTCAGAGCTGGTTACCCCTTCTGCAGCCAGCAGCTCTGAGAAATGGGAACTTTCCTGTTCCCAGCTGCCCACCCCATTATATGCTACGTTACTCAGTAACTAAGTTAGTAGATGAGGCCACATTCCCCATTAACTTAAATATTCCTGCCAGCTCTGCTCTCTCAAACAAGATAAAAGCAACAGGCTGTTTCAGTGGCAGGGATGTCGTGCTTGAAATCTTGTCCACATGTATTGCTTAGTGAACGTCAGCCGCAGCCCCGTGAATTTATATACATTTCACTCCAGCAATAACAGAATCCTCTGTCAATCTGTTATACTTCCCAGAGCAAAAGCAATTCTGGTCTAGATTTGGTCTTCCTCTGAGGTCTTTTGCAATGCTGAAATCTGAGGAATTTGTTTTGCAAGTTTACCAGACTGCTCAAAAATTACAGGTTTTCTTTCTTGGAAGTACGAAGCCAAAAGTCCTTTCAGAACCTGATTCAACAATGGGAGATTTCCCCCTCACACTGGTGGGCTTGTCCTGAGCTTTAAATTGATTGAATTTAGGACAGACTACATTTTGATATATCATAGTAGCAATTTTTGCGAGCTACTTTGTTAGACAGCCTTTATCAAAAGCAATTGTGCAGTTGGAGGGTTTTGCTTTTTCTCCTTGAACAATCCCTAACCACAAGCATGGGTGCCTCACATCAGCTGATTCTGGCAGCTTTGCCAACAACGGCGTCAACCGCACAGGGGACATCGTGACTAGCGCAAACAAAAAGCTACCTGTGCAGAAAGAACAGTGTTTTGCATGCAGAACTGTGTCCAGAAAAATCCCAGCCTTTCCCCCAAAACTGCAGCAGGGTGGCTGTATGGTAAATTTTACTAGATTTGGATCTTGGAAGAGAGAAGGCATAGCAATTCTCAAACGTTATTTTCATTTGATAGGGATTTGATACCACAAAGAATTGCAAGACTATACATAGTTCTGCACCAATCAAAGCATTTCTTGGTAAGATGATGAGGTTAGTGTTTGCTAGGAGGAGAAAAAGAAAACCACAAAAGGATCACTGTGCCTGCAGCAAAAGTTGGATTTATCAGAACAGAATTGAGTCCTTACCTTTGCAAGATTCTCCGTGAAGACATTCTGTATAATCTTAGACTGTACAGGCCCTGGGCATATGTTGATAATACTTATCTCAGGGTAGTCAGTCAGCTCAGTTCGAAGAGAATTAAAAAATCCCTAGAAGAATGGACTAGAATGTAATCTTCCTTTGCCATGTTTCCACATGTAGCAAGATTTAACTGACTACACATTTTCATACTAATCCTATGCTGTAAAGATAACGGTATTCCACTAAAAGCAATTCTTACTATGTTCTTTGACTTTTCACATTCAATGACATTTAAAATTTTGTCTGCAATTATAGATATTGATATGTAAGTCACTGAAGAATCTATCCTTGACTTCTCAAACACAAAATATTGTCTCTGAACTACAGCCAGATTTGCTGTCCCTGTACTGAGGATGAGCCTCACTGTTTGGTAGTGGAAGTGCCGCCAATCATAAGAACTACAATATCCTGGAAATTTTCTTTTGCAGGTGAATTGCGCTTTGTGATGAGATTAAAGATTTTAAATTGTTTCTATTGAGTAAGCAGCACTGATTTTATACAAGAGGAGGAGGAACACTTTCCAGCATATTAAGTCAAAGTTGCACCCTGATATTTTAGGGGGTAATTCTGCATCACTGGATTCACTGCAGAGTTTGAAATTTGCATCCGCATAGACAGAAATCTTATTTCAGCTCAGAAATATATTACCACTGTATTTAAGTGAAACTATAATTACAAAAGCTGCAAGTATTTCTTTTCTTTAAGCTAACAGGATAGAAGTTTTCTTAATCTCTGTAGCAATTCACATTTAGATAGCACCTATTCTGGGGAACATGACCAATTCAGGAAGGTGCTTCCTACCAAAGTTGCTGGTAAAGCGCTGCAGAGCTATGATTTAGCAAACACCACATCATCTCTTATCTTTGACCTGGTTAATAACAGTTCCTTGTACTTGTTCTAACATATAATTTTGTGTCACAACAGAGATGGAGAGCAAGCACAGGCTGATAAACTTCTCCCACCGAGCTTGGGAAGAGGGCTGGCTGACCCAGAGCTCTTCACAAAATTGCAACGCAGGGCTAAAATGGGTCAGATCTGCTCCTGTGATGACACAGTAGGAGCCAGCTGGGACGATCCACCAGAGCTGGGCAATGAGCTGCACACCAGTGCACACCTATGACCAAGAACATGGGCTCTAATTTCCCAATTGCTGGTGACTAAATCCAGTTTACAGATTGCATACACATTTTGCAGTTAGGTTCTGTAAAAACACTGACCATGTATTTAAAGTTATATGTACCTGCAGGCCCCGTATCTAGTATCAGATCTTCACAACATGTTATCAAAGCCCGAAGATAATGTAACTTCTAGAGGACTAAGTTCTAATATTGAGGACACTTAGATGCCCAGAATTCTGCTTCTGGACACACTGGAAAGCATCTCAGATCTGCCAACCACACAGTTGTTTTGATTAAAAAGCCAGGCCCTCCTGCCCTGGGGAGCCTCCTCCAGCCCTGGTGCACACCTTCTGATGTGGCCCCGATTCAGCTGTGCTTTACCCACCACTCCAGGCTAATGCCATAGCCCCAACCCACACTTGCCACAACTCCTTCTTTCCCCAAGGGGTCTTGAGACCACTTATCTCAGAAAAGCCCATTAACCCTGAAGTTGCGCAGTCCTGTTGCAGAAGTTGTGCTGTCAATCCAGCTGAGGAAAATGTAACAAGACCCCAAAGGGGAGAAGGAGGCAGTGTGTGTTGTGAGCACGGCCACTTGGGTGAGGGGAAGATGTGGAGCTGCTCCTTGTAGCCTATTCACCACAGGCTCTCCCAGAAACACAGCCTGAAAGTAGCCAACACAGCTATCTTCCCTCCTTGGGCAATCCTGAGTTATTCCAGCAATGGTGAACTGTGTGAGCAGGGCTAAGGGAGAGCTCTCCTAGCCCACACTCCCTTATCAGCCCCTGGTGATTCAGGACAGGGAGGAACAGAATTGACTCCCATTTTGCCTGAAGGAGACAAACTCGAGGCGTATTTCCAGGAGTTGAAGAGGTGGAAGGGTGTGTGTCTGTGATAGAAAGGAGGCCAGAAATATTGCTTGGTCACATGTCACAAAGGACCTACACCAGCTTAAATGCTGGGAGGCTTCTGGGATCCAAGTTCTACCTAAAAATGGGCACCTGCCCGCAGTCTTGAGTAGCCCCTCAAAGGCACATAGCTGTCGCCAGCTCTGTAGGCAACTCCAGACACCTTCCCTCAGAGGGCACTGGCTCTGGCATGCTCCATTCTGATTGCTGCCTCTCTCCAAGTATTACAAAGGGAGCCTTGCTGACTTGAACAAGTTGCAAGACACCAAAAGCTGAGCGTTGGCCCAGTGAGCTGAGGTTACCTTTGGAGATCCTGTCTGCACAGTAGCCAAGCACAGGGCTGCTGATGCTTTTTTGAGAGTGCTGTCTGCATAGCACTGTCAGTCTCTGCTATTTCATTAAAGGGTTGCACAGGCTGTAAACATTAAATACATGTAGCCAAAGATCGGGGCAAGCTCCTGTTTCTGCTCTGTGGCAATCCAGCTTTTCCCCTCCTCCATTTCAAGGAGTTTGTGTGCCTCCTCCTTCCCCTGTGCTGCAGTTCCAAGTTTTTACACCATGGAAGAGGTGTAGTCTTCCCTGGGGACACAGCATGGCTAGGACACTTGCTCAGATGAAATCCCGGCTGATACACACTCAACAGAGCCTCTCAAAGACCGGAATTTCACATACTCTCAGTCCCCTCTGGAGGCTCTATCTGCAGTATACACAGGTTCCTTAATTCCAGCACTTATCTTTAATATCCAAAGGTAGGTGGTAAGAAATTCTTCCACTTCCTCCCAAAAGAGAAGCTCAAAATTTCCAAGTAAAAAAAGAAAGTGCTCTCTTTCTTCAAATTCAGGCAGGGGCAGCCCCAGATTTGGGAGTAGTAAAGGAACTCAAGTGCAAGAGGACAGATCTGAGTGTTTCCACCAAACCCAGAGTGAAACCAGCTCTAACATACAGACACAGGATGTGTGGAAGAGGAACTGCTTTAAGCCATCTCTGGGCCTTTCCAGCTTAGTGACCAAACCCTAGAAGATACTGAAGAAGGCAAGGCTGAACTGACTTCTACTGTGACAGAAACATTTAGAAATTCCCCTAAGGACCAGAGACTGAACAAATTGACTTGTGGTTGCTGCTCAGTGCAGTCCGTCTGTTTATTAGACAAGTTCCTGATTAAGGAACATTTTGATGGCCACCATTTCCGATCCACTCCACATGCCACTGATTATATGAACTACAACTAGATGAATGGCACATGATCTCCATAAGCATCATCACACTGGGAGAGAAACTGCATCAGTCAGATGCAGACTCCTGTGGACTTGACTCATGCTCTTAGAGCACTCCCAGAACTGAAATAAAGGGTAATTTCATCAGTAGAATGTTGTTATGAAGAATTCCAACTGGCATGAATCAAAGTGTGATTGTCTCGAGAAGAAATTTCAATTCTTAGCAGAATTCCTTCCTTCCTCCTCCAACTGCCATTTAAAAGAAATTTAAAAAGAAAACAAACAAATAAAAACAGAACAAAAGGAGGGACATTTTCAAAAAAAGGCATAATTAAGATGGCAGCATTAACTGTGTCAGCTGTGGTAGACTCCAAGGCATGAATTTAAAAAGACAAAAACCATAATAGATTAATTCCTGTCAGATAGGCTCACATATTTAATAACTGGCAGCCAAAATACAATCTTCATTGCAAGAAGATCTTAGAATACAAGCTGATACATGCTGGGAAAACACAACAAGAAAAGCATCCACTTGATGCTTCATCTTACTGTTCCTTTACTCTCTCTCCAGCCATTTTTTCTTGCTCATCACCAGAGATGGGCTACTGGGCTATCTGAAAGGGACTGTCATTCCTACAGACTGCCTTTACCTGAACTGTACTGGTGAAGTTTGGTATTTCAAAAAAGATCTTCTAGTTTTTGCAGGTTTCATGCCCACTTCTAACCATAACTCCAGCTTGATAAGAGACTCTCAAGACAGAGTCTTTTCAGAATCTGTATTGCAAATCACATGTTTTAACACCTGCAATTAGTATTTGCAGAATTACTGTTAAAGAAGCAAGAAAGGTTTGGAGTCTGGCCTGGTTGTTGGGCAGAGGGAGAATCTAACAAAGATATGAGCAGTTCAGTTACCTTATTTTTAATTAATCCAGAAATTTTAGTAAACTATCTCTTTAAAGATCAAGAACATGGAAGAAGCTTAACATGAGATTCAGAGGTCTGAGGATTTTTAAAGCAACACCTGAGTTCCTTGTGTTCTGCAACTAATTAGCCATGCTTAGATCAACTACACCACACCCAAAAGATAATTCAACCGAAAGAACGGTTAATAAAGGAGTATAAAGGGAATTCATGCTTCTGCTCCTTGCATTCTTCTAATTTAAATCTACTTCAAAAGCTGGCCTCTAATGGGCCATTTCATCACTGCCACTCAAATGAAGAGCAGCAGATCTCTCCCCATCACTTACCAAAAACTCTTTATTAGCAGAGGCCTGTCACTGTCTTCTAAATCTTCATTCTTTCAAGTGTCTCGTGGCTTTGCAGTGTCAGCCCCTTGTTATATTTTTGCTGGTTTTAGTCAAATTTACAAAAACATACTGATCCCATAGCTTAAGCAGTGATTTACTGTTTATGTGCTTAAATCCAGCAGGGAGTAAGAAGGTGCCAGCTGTTTAAATCATCACTGAGTACAGATGAACTTTATTTTACTGAGATCAAAATGTACATTAGCAGGAAGTCAAACAGTGGTGAAAGACAAATATGTCTAAATAAATTTACTAGTTAAACAAATGATTCAATGATACAGGCTTTCTTTTTTCCCCAGATACTCTTCTGAGCTCTTACGTTTTTCTACACAAGTGAGACTACTTTCAAAAATTCTTTCCAAGCAATACTGAAAGTTAAGTGTTAGGCAGAAGGTAACTTCCCAAGACACTATGAGCTGCCAGTTCATCACACCACAACAAGATTCAGAACTGTTGGGAAGATTTGTTCAGGTGTTCCCAGCTAGGTCAGGTATTCTCATTTCTCTGAGTAGTCTACTTTACCGCTCACTGTTCTCACTTTACTGTCATAAAGATTTTCTGTAGTCTTAAAACTCTCACCAGTGACTTTCCTCCCTAACTGAATTAAGATGAGAACATTAGGGCTTCTATATGCAAAAAATCCCCTGATTTAGACATTCCTTCATCTGAAAACCAGAGGCTAAGATCTCTGTTTTTTACACTGGAATTTAACTACATAGTGTTTAGGATCAACTAAGATGGCATTTGAATTTTAGTCAGGAAAATAAATCTACACTGGGAGCTGAGATGTTTCACATTTCACAGCAAATTAATTTTAAAGGACTTTCAAAGCCTGGAAAAGCTACATATACTGGGTGCAACTTCAGGCGAGACTTGTGTTTTCTGCAAAGAATAAAGTCCTCTGCTACAGTACTAACTGATACTGGTCTATTACACAACAAGACTTAATTAACCTAAGAAATTTAACTTACCTGCAGAGCATGCTTGCTGGCACAGTACCCAGAGGCAAGAGGAGCTCCCATGATACCCATCACACTGCTCACAGTAACAATCTTTCCTTTTTTCCTTTGGATCATGTGATTCAGGACATGTTTTGTTAAAGAGATTGTACCTAGGTAGTTGAGTTCCATTATGGCACTGTAGACATCCAGGTTTGTATCCACAAACAGAGAACGTTGGGAACGTCCACCATTGTTGACCAAAACATCAATCTCAGGAAAGATACAATGATAAATTAATATAACACATTTCCTTCAATATTTATGCTTCCTCAGGCAATCATTACGTGACTATTCTCTTCCTTCTAGCATCACCTCTGCCATACACAAGATGTATCAGTTGCTGAAGAAGCTTCAGCAGTTGCTCTCTCCCACAAGAATTCCCCTTCGATTTGAGGGCTGGCTAATTTTGAGCTGAGTCAACAAGACAGGAATACAGTGTTTGATGCCAAACAAGGTTAACAGGAACAGTACAGGAACGTTGGCAGCTGGAAAGTTGTTTTCCACACAACATTTTTTAACCCTACAGCACTGTAGCAAGAAACACTTAATGCTCAGGTCCTGCAAGGTGACCTCTGAAATACATTCTGTGCAAAACCAGAAAACAATTAGAGTAAAGAACAGAAGACAGAAATCTGGCAACAATAGTTTCACTGTGAAACCAAAATATCAGTGGACCTAGCTTGTAGCTTTGCATGTTGTACTTTTAACATTAGGTACATCTGACTGCTATTTTCTTAACTTCATATTCTGGTCCAACAATTTAGAAAACCATGCACAAAACAAGGAAAACAATTGTGCCTGGTGTCCAGTTTTGTCCCATGTGGCTCTGAACCCAAATTACATGGATTACTGAAACTACAAAAAAAAAGGTTCTGACATTCATACTCAATTTTAAGCCCTAAATATACAATTAAGAATTGTTCCCGTTGGTCCAGAAATTCAGTAACATCAAGCAAGTGAATTTTTAGTTCTTGTCAATGACCAGTGATTATTTGTTCATTGCTACATCTCTGTAAAGCCTGCTGAAACCCAGAATCAAGCAACAGAAGGGATGAAAATTCAGGTACTTTTTGGCAAATGAATACTGAAACTTAAGAAAGGTGTAGACACCAGTGAATTTACCATAGAGTAAAATAAAAGTGAAATACAAACATAAATGCAGGGATAGGAGATGGAGAAGAAAAAGAAGTCTAACTCCAGAAGCACACCTTACCTTGCCAAAATGCTTAAGAACACTGTTGGTTGCAGCTTCATGAGAGCTTCTATCAGTCAAGTCAAGACGCAGGACAAGGATATCTTTTTCACCCAAGTTGCTAATCTCTAAAAACAACCATAAAGTGAATAGGAACCAGTAAGATTCCTGACATAACAATTGTCTGCTTTAAACATCACATTTTCACTAAAAAGACACCAAGAAACCACAACATTAAGTTGGAAATAAAATCCTTGCTTTGATTTAATTTTGAACTCCACATGGAATCCATTTTTAATCTGTTCCTACCAGGTCTTTCTTTTCTCATCATTATGTTTTTGCTTGTCAAAAGCTTGACTTTATTAAACAGTCTTGTGTAGCACAACACAGACAAATCAATTCTCCATATAAATTGCAACAGTTGGGAGTAACATACAAGAGGATTATCTGATACTGAAATTTTTCGCTGAGCCCCTCGGAAGTACAGCGTATTGGCAGCCTTGACACTTTGCTTGGATGTTAACTGGTCAAGCATGTTTATTCCTGACAATAGGACTGATACAATTTAGACCCAATACACAATATATATATACATGAGTAGCAATAAGACAAAGTCTAGAGAAGCCAAATTATTGGAGGAAGTAGGAGAAGGTTTTTGTTTAACTGACAGCTTTTAATATATCCATCTCCTGAAATAAAAGTCAGCTGTCATAAAGTTCAGGCCTTCATGTTGAGCGTTGCTTCTACTGTCACTTCAGAACAACTGACCTTTTCCATAAAAAGTATTTCTCGAGAAGTAATTTGTTACCCTGGGGTTTTGGGGCAGATGACTCACAAAAATAAAATCTTCAATGTTAATATTTTCAGATTTTAACTGCATATAAAAAGATTTTTTTACTTTATGTAAGTTTGATAGCACTGTTTTTGTTTCTGAATTGACTCCTAGCCACAACTAAGTGGTATCTGCTCCCCTTTAACCAGCTGCCCTCTTTAGAAAGCCTAAGGCTCTGATTTTTAATTACTACTTCTTACATATACATGTAAAGTTGAACTTTGTCTTTACAGTGATGTATAAATAAGGAGGTTACTTAAATCCATAAGTTGCCTCTGTTCAAAGGTCACTAGCATTTAGACTACTGGTTAAAATAAACCCATCTGCCTGGTTTAAAGCTACCAGTATTTCCTTTTATTGCTCCTTCCAACCCCTCCATGTGCATTTTCCCCTCCATTTCTTCCAAACACACAACAGTAAAATCCATATAGTTTAAACTACCCTCTCAGAGACACACCTCTACCTCACACTCCCTCAAGCAGATTTGCACAGTTGAAAGTTACTGGGATGTGGAGCGTTTCTGCTATGGATTAACAAGACCACATGGTCAACCCAGACAAGAAAGCTACACAGGGCAGAAAGAAAAAAGCAGAGGAAGAGACAGACTGCTGATAAGGAAGGAAATGCTCTTTTATATGATGTAAGAAACTTTTGACTTCAGAAAATATCAAACCAGAAGCCTAGTTCTTGTTTTGGAGCAATCTGTAGATTTCTTTTGGAGAAATCTGATTCCCACTCCCTGAAGCACACAGACTGTGTATCTCTATCATTCCTACTTCTTTCCTAGGGTGAGGAATCCTTGCTCTAGTCACTCCTTATAGATAGATTTTACAAAACTTTAAACATTTTTGCTACCCTTTTTCTAAACTTCTTCTACTGTCCACTCATCCCATTGTTCTTCTGGCAGATGACCAGAACTGTGCACTCTGTTGAAGGCATGTACGTGTACCAATTTATACATTGTCAGAATGACGTTCTCCATTTTATTAATAATCCTTCCCAAAGCTCAGTCCACCCAGAACAAAGGCCACGTTCACACAGCTGTGAAATTGCACTTCTAGTGCACAGTATTTTCTGGAGGTCCTTTAAAGCCTCCTTACATAGAAGCTTTATACCATATGGCCTCTGGCCAGGATCAAACTGTTTGACCACCAAGCAGCAGGCCTTCCGATTGCCATTTTCCTACTAATGTCGAGGTTCATTAAGTTCTAGTTACTTTTTAACTAAAATATGGTTACAATCACCTAACGCTAACTTGTTTTTTGAAAGACTGCTACATGAAGAACACTGACTTAGAAAAATATTTTTTACCACACCAAGTGTGCACCCCCTTCCCCCAGGATCTCTTACCGGATTTCAGAACAACTCTTTCTTAATACACGTAAATCCAAGATCAGTTTCTCCTAACCTGATAAATGCTATTACTCAGCATAGACCCTTCATGTCACAGCTCTTCAGCACTTCCTCTTCTTTTATTTCTGTCTTGTATGAAGCCCTTTAACAGCACACAAGCTTTTAGCAGAGGCTGAACAACGTGACCTCCTGAGGCCCATTCCCACCTCAATTACTGTAATTTATAGATTGTCTGTCATTCATTTGGTTTATCTATATTTAAACAAAAATTTGAGCTTTCAGACCCCTCATCTACTTCTTTTTTTCTTTTTAGGGCTTGAGACAAAACAGCCTCTAAAATTACAGGTGAAATTCAAATCCTGCTGCAGAGAGTGGTTGAGGGAAATACAGAAGACACTTGCAGGAACCACATAAGTTATACAAGTTGTTTTCCCTCCCTCCTGCAGAGAAGCGTTGAGTTGGCATGTGCGTGACTCAACAGGTATTACCATAGCTTTTTCGGTGCTTTCCTTCTCTCTCTCTCCTTAGCTTTTAAGCACTGCAGAATGCATAAACATGCATCATAGGGCGGTGTCTCTGAATTTTGAACAAAATAAATGTGCTTGCTTCTAACATTAACATGAAAATTATCTAGTTAAGTTGCTGCTGTGTATAGCATCTACAGTTGGGATGTTAAAGCCTATTAGCTCCAATTATGCCACAGAATTCAGCCAAATTCAAGTTGGATGTTATATGTTGTAGCTCAATCTGAATTCATCCCATGCTACTCAGACCTTACAAAATACTCTTGAACTCAATTGCAAAAAGGAAACATGCAGGTGGAAACAGGGACAAACTGCCAGGAGGCACGTGGACCCACTCCCCAAGCATGCAGGGATGGAATCAGGAAGACAACACTCAGACAGAATTGCAACTGGTGAGGAATGTGAAAGGCAACAAGGGCTTCATAGGTACAGCACCAACAAAAGGAAGACCAAAGACAGAGTGAGCTCACTGCTGAAGAGGATGGCGAGGAAGTGACGAAGGGCACAGAAAAATGAGGTACTCATTGCCTTCTTTGCCTTAGTCTTCACTGGCAAGATCTCCTCTCAGGTCTCCCACACTCCCATGGCTAGACTCTGGGGGAAAGAAATACTACCAACGTCAGAGGATGACCGAGTTAGGAACAAACTGCACATATAAGCAGGGCAATATATACATCCAAGATTTACAAGAGCTGACCAATGATAGTCATCTTTGGAAGGTACCTAGTAAGTGGAGTAGCTCCCCACTGATTGGAGAAAACCAAATGTCACACAGCCTAACCTCAGTCCTTGGGAAAATAATGCGGCAACTTTCAAGTACATGTAGGGCAACAAGGTGACTGGGAAAAGCTGGAATAGATTTAGCATGGACATATATTGCCTGACAACCTCAATTGCTTTTTGTGACGAGATGACTGGCTCTGGGGACCAAGAGAGAGAAGTCCAGGTTGTTTACCTTGACTGTTTAGCCTTCTACACTGTCTTCCATAGCATCCTTGAAGCTATGCTGGGGAAATATGAGGGGTCTAGATGAGTGGATTACAGTGCAAGTGAAAAAAGAGGCTGGATCACTGGGCCCAAAGAATAGCAATCAACCATTCCAAGTCTAACTGCTGGCCAGTTATAAGTGGTATCCCTCCATGATTAATGTATTTTAATGTCTTCATTAATGACTCAGATGATGGGACAAGACACAGGTTTTCAGCAAATTTTCAATTAACATCAAGTTCAAAGGAACAGTTGCTATGCTGGAGGGGAGGATTGGCATTCAGAGGCAGCTTAACAAGCTGTAAGAACAGTCTGACAAACCGCATTAAGCTCAACAAAGTCAAATGCTAAATTTCACACCTGGAAGGATAGAATAATACCACACAGTACTGCCAGCCAACGTTCAAACGGACAGGTATCAGCTCTCCCAACAGGACCTCAGGTCCTGATGGAAGAACAACAGCAAGTGGAATGTAAGTCAGCAATGAGCTCTGGCAATCACAAATTCTAGTGGGCTGCACTAGGCAAGAGCAGACTGAGGGAAGTGACTTTTAAGCACCTGCACTTAAAAACTGCATCTGAAGTACTGCATCCAATTCTGGACCTACCTAGTTCAAGACAAATACTGATAAACTGGAGACTGTAGCATAGGGCCATTAATACAGTTAGGAAGTCTAGCACACGTGATAATCAAGGAAAGGGGTGGCAAGCTGGGTTTATATAGCCTTAAAAAAAGAAGGATAAGAGGGTAAGGTGGCCCAATTACTCTCTTCCACTACTTGAAGGCTGGCTATAAAAAATATGGAATAACTATGTTCCTAAAGAGTTTCCAATATTTCTAGTAATCTGACCTATAGTTAAAATAAAATTCAGCAGTGTATGTTTGCAAAATACATGGCTACATAAGACTTTAAAGCTAGTATATACCACAGCTAAGACATTCACAGGGTTACTTCAACTTGGCAGAGGCAGAAATTATCTTACATAAATCTATACTCTTGGTTCACACCAACTGATATTATTCTTCTGAATATTCCTTAGCACATCGCACTCTCATACAAGTGGTGACTGAAAATGGATATCCAGGATTATGGCTCCTGCCAGCCTATCTAGTGTTACCAGTTTTGCAATGACAGCAAACAGCCACATATGCCAGTGTAGCTGCATACTTTCACTGACCGCTAAACATTGCATCATATAACATTGAAAAGTTGCCATGATCACCACTTGACCACACTGTCATCTTCTGTCTCTTGCTTCCTTTTGAAGATAACTATTTAAGTGACTGCTTTTCTGAAGCATTAGAAAATAGAAATAAGGAGTTGTGCATTTTTTAAGCTCCTTGATAAGTTTTCATAGTAGCCCACTGCAACTTTTAGATTTCTAGAAACGTTTAGGTGCTAACTCAAGACAAACATTTCATTATTCACCAGCAGTCATTCCAAGTAAACTCTGGACACTGTCAACAATACCAGGAATTAACTGTCAGTGTTGTAATATATGCCGTATAAAACCCCACATACTGAGCTACAGAGGATATAGAGTCTGAATAGTTAATATAATGTTAATCATGTTCAAAACTTCTATTTATCAACATGAATTAATTGTCTAACCCACTTGCTGTCAAGATAGAAATCAGGAGGGAAAAGAGAAACAGGAGGAATGAAGCCAAACTACTGACTCAGCAGGCATATGGAAGATAATTTGAATAGTTAAACATTCTGCTTCACACTTGTTCCTCTTGATCTACAGGAGATCCTCTTTCTTGCACTTGCTCAGAACAACTTTTTCAGAACGTTTCTATTAATTCCTTTTCCAAAGAGGAAAGTCAGTTGTCAGTCTGACTGCAACATGCACAAACCTGAAGGAAGACGACTTCTTAATAGCATGCAGCTACATGGTTTGGTTCTTAATAGGATGATACCCTCAGACTGTTTCCTTCCTTCCCCACAGTATTTATCTCTTTTCTTAATCTAGCATTTTACAAGACTACCTGCATTGATAATAAGATTTATAGGGAACATTGTCTTATGAAGGAACTCATACTGCAAGTCTATACAAAGGCTTCTCACTCATGGAAAAAAAATACCAGCTTCAAACGTACAGTGAAAGCTTACTTTGATCATGTATAAAGTTTACTTTCATCATGAAATTTATTCCTGTGATATAGGGGTTAGTATTTCTGTGACAACTCTATCACAGCAAGAGTGGAACTGCTCACATGAGGCGGCAAGTTGTACTTACGAAGGCATTTCTTCTTCACTCTTTCCAGCTCATCCTCTCTTCTTGCTGAGATGGCAAGCAAGGCTCCTATCTTTGATAGCTGGTAAGCCAACTCTTCTCCAATTCCACTTGAAGCTCCTGTCACCCAGACAACCTTGCCACGCAGTTCATGTTCTAGCAAAAGAATCAAGAAAGTAGTTCACACATTGCTAGGATTAGCATTTAAGACACTGCAGAGGTATAACTTGATACCGTTTTTATGAAATATGCTTGATTTTTTTGGCTATTACAAAATCCTGACTTCTTTATTTTTTGGTCATGTGCAGTTGTGAAATTGTTCATAGCTGTTCTGTTGTCACTTGAACTTTGTTTCAAGGCTAATCTGAATAAACACTGATTATCTACCTGATGGAAGAAATCTGATCGCATTTCTGCAAGCCATTCCTACATATCATTTCCACAAACCTCATCAAAAACAGCTTCAGAGGAAAAGGGAGAATACTTGGAAATGACAGAAAACAGTTACTGTTTTACAAATCCAAATAAAAGCCTAAGCAAACCTTTCCTGATAATGTTCTACCTCAAAAATGTTCCTAAGTAATTGTTGACAGAAGAAAATTCTCTGAACAAAGACACCCAATCATAACAAACCAAATGGGTGTTCATCCACTCTGTTTTGTATCAGATGTAGGTTAATTCCTGCATTGGCTGGAGTACAGTACACAGAGTTCCCAAGGTGTAAGCTCATATGTGAATTTCCCATGTACTCACAGTTCCTGCCCAGACATGCTTTTTTAACCTGTAGTAAAAAAACCCCGAACATCTTCCTCCTTTTACTCCTCTGCTTATATGCCTGTTCCTCCTTTTTTGCATTCATCCCCACTCCATGATACACCTCGGTTCTGGGAAAAGGCTTAGCTTTCCAAACACATATCTGAAATCACCAAATACAACAGATGGATGAAAATCACCCATTTAATTCTAGAACACAATTTAAGGATGAATGATCACAAATATTAGAACACTTTCCAGAACTTATCATTGCCTAACAGTCGTATGCGTCCTTCAAGATTAGTCTTAGTGAACATGAGTCTTAGGGAAAATCTGACTCAAGCACTCAGAGCACTGTTGACAGGAGCTCTTCCTTCTATTTCTCATGTTTGTACAGAAGAGTATTCCCACAATGTCTAGCCAGCCAAGAAAGATTTCATGGTATAATTCAAATAGCAGAGCCAAATGTAGTTCCTGAGACTAAAGCCAGTTCTATCCTGAAAAAGGCTAGAACAGCATTTTTCAGCTCACTGAAACTCACCCACTCGTTTAATTTAACAAAAGTACTTTTTCAGTGCAGCCAGTGGCTGGGACTGCTTTTACTTCCTGTTTACTTCAGTAATCAGTTCCTGGTTCTCTCTACACCATGCTGTGTTTCAAATTCTGCTTTCAGAGTCTTAATGACATAAATCCCGTGAAGAGATCAGCAACAAAACCTTCTACCATTCTGACATGACCAGAGAGTACTTAGATCCCAACTTGAGTTTGTGGGACTAGCAGAGAATTTTGTCTTATTTTTAAACTATTTTAGCCAAAGAAAAATCCCTCCTAAAACCAAACCGTGGTGGTTTGGCATTTGGGGGTGTGTGTGTGTGTGTGTGTGTGTGTGTGTGTTTACTTTTAAAAGCAATATCAACAGCAACAACAGTCACTTTCCAAAGGAGAGATGTATTCTAAGATTATGAGTAGGAGGTGGAAAGAGGCATTGCTGAAATTGTAGGAATAACCACTGATAACAAATGGCTGATGTCTGTAAAGCTTATTCACACTCTTCTACAGTTTTATACCAATTCATTGACTTAAGCACAAGAAACATGTGGGTTCATCTCTCCTATTATGGTTTGGGATTTTTTGGCAGAAAACCCGTATAGACAAATACTACATGAACAAAACAACATGGACATACTTTCAACCCTGCTTACCACACTCATCTCCTCTTGCTACTGAAAACAAATCCGCTTCCTCCTACTACTCAGTTTCCCTGTTCCCAACCTGTCTTGGGCAGATTCACTGCAGTTATTCAGGATCTTGTTCTGTGGACAGAATAATTAACTGAGATAAGGGGAGTTTTCCACTGATTCCCCAATGCTGATAGTTACAAAGCACTGAGCTACTGGGAGTTAACATAATGGAAAGCCTAGCCCAAATGCCATTGTAGAGCAAGTATCGAAGCACCAGTTTGTTCTAGAATAAATGTGTTGTCACTAGAAATAAGTTTAAAAATTAACCATGACAAATTAAAAAATAAAAGCTATTACTAATCGTTAACTACTGTGTTAGAAGGCATAGCAAATGAGAGGTTGAACACAGTAGTACTGCAAGTAATCCAAGACGTGCTTTTGTAGCTCTGTTCAGGGTTTTTTTCCAACATTTTAAGCTTCTATAGCACAAGGTTGCCATCTCATTTCATTCACGAAAAAATCTGGCACGATGAAGAGCAGGAGGTTGCCATGTCATTTCATTCATGAAAAGAATTTGGGATGGGGAGGTTTAAAGCTCTACATCCTCCCCACAGCCCTAAGGAATCATACTGTTATACTCAGCTTTAAGAGTACTCTGTCAGATACGTAGGCTTTCATATGTAAAAGGATCCTCCTTAGCTTGATAGTATTACACTGCCTGTGAAAAGCACGCTGTTAGAGTGGCTGCTGTTCAGTTAATGAAACACAACACATAAGGGAAGTCATCCAGCACCCAGTAACCCTTGTCTCCCACCCACACAAATATTTAGAAGATGGGAAGGAATCCAGCACCTGCCAATGACAAAATCCAGAAATGAATTCTCCCTATAGAATTCAATAGTTGAAATGGAACCGGTCTTCCTATATTAAGACCTTTCTTCATAATTATAGTTTACAGCACAAGAGAAAGGAACATATGAGATCAGTTTGCTTCCTGGTAAGTATTTTTATCTCAGAAAAATTTGACATCCATAATAATGTTGGAGAAGTGATAACACAATATAATGACTGAAAGAGTGACAGCTCTAATAACAGCTTTAAATAAAAATCAAGGGTTTTCTCCACAGGATCCACACGTTACTTACCTAGGCATGCTACATTATGTGTGCAATATGGGGAAGAGGAAGAGAAAAGAAGAACATATTTAAAGAAATCTTTTATAGTGTTCGTCCCTTCTGATTTCCTACCTGAACAGTTAGGATCAGCACTGTGTCATCACCATCCCACGTGTATATGGCTGAATAGCAGCAAAATGCCACTTAACTACTTCCTTTTCTGCTACATATTTAAGTTAATTACAAGTACTGAGGCTGGGAGATGGGGGCGAGGGCAAAACACAGTTCACCTCTTTGCAGGTCAGTGTTGTCAACATTGACAAAATTCTGCCTGCACATTGAAATAACTACATCAGAAAATTACTACATTGCTCTTTATATGGGAACTTTTAGAGACTAGTTAAACAGTTTCCAGGCTTCCAGTAAGACTGAAGGCTACATTCAAATAACACTATGTCTGCCTGAGAGCTCCTACATTTTGATGTGCATTGCACATAGATCCCTCAGGACAAAGCTTCAATTCTGTTTGTATTAGTCAAGATTTATCTTGTTTCTCTGCCCTGAGTCTTTACATGACCTTTGCAAAATCCACGCATGAAGCTCTTCTTATAGCATGATTTTTTCTTATAGCAAGGGAACTACCTGGTAAGAGTTACTATAAAACTTTGGGCTGCATCTCCAAAGAGTTACGTAAGATTGCTCACTCAGATTTAAATTTAGTATTTCTTAGAGCTTTATTACTTGTGCATGCTTTTCTATTCTCTTCTCCATTACATGGAATAGCACTTTTGCAGTAAGCTTCTACTGACAGCAGAAGACAGATGTCTCAGCAAGCTTGTCCTAATCTTCCCTCAAGCCTGTCCTAACAGCAACCTTCACGCACACCACCATCCCCTACCAAATCATGGTCTCAAGCCCAAACCTTTACTCCATCGTTTCCCCACAGCACACATTCCTGATCCAACTTAATTCAATGCAGTCCTATCTCCCCATCTCAAGACAACATCCAGTTTAATTTCTGAATGAAACAGCTTATAGTGTCCCTCATCCCATCTTCTATTAGATCAGCTTTTTCTCCCAATGGGTCAGATGAAAGAAGAGGGTGTTGCGTGATCACTGACAGCACCATCTCCCCGCTTTCACCTCAACCACCTGCACCCAGCAGCTCACAGCAGCCCCAAATTGCCACTAAACTGAGGGGGAATATTTGGAAATTTGTGGGTTTTCTAAATAAAAGATTCTATTAAGCAAATAAAATCCATGATTTTTAAAGATATTTGTCCAGAAGTAGGCAGGATTAGAAAGAGCAACATGAGCAGGAATTGAAAATCCCTGTGTGACAGCATTTAATTGAACTTTTGTACCCACAGGTGTCAAAAGCAGCGCCTTAGAAAAGTGGTGTAAAACCACAGACAGCACTCGTGTGGTGCTGTCCCCTTACGCCATTCAGGGTACAATTCTTGGAAGAGGAAACCCGTTTAATCTGAACATTAATATTCATGCTTACTTCATTGTAAACACTTTCAGCACTACTGTGAAACTGAGATCTGCTTGAAGGTGTCAACAAACTGAAACAGAAGCTGAACAGACTGCAAAGAAACCGACCCTGATGTGCCAAGCATCCTCTTTTCTCACCGCCCCTCCTTCGACACTGCCCAGAAACAGGGCAAAACAAACATTTTTGGGCCAAAGCAGGCAGCCCTCACCACAGATCTGCTGGAGCTCACCGCTGCTGTGAAGTCGCTTTCAGAGAGCGACTTTATTGGCATGAGGGGCACCGCACGCCTTGCTGGATAAGGGCAGGGAAATTATGCTTCTGGGGTCACTTGTATGGACGAGCCCGTGGGGCAGCTGCCGAGGATCGGTTCCGCTGAGCTGAGGCGACCCCAGCCCGGTCCCTGGGGACCCCTTTCCTCCCCGCACGCCGCCCTCCCTTTTCGCCTCACGAAGCGCCCCAAACTCGGCCCGCGGCGACAGCGCGCCCCGCCCCGGCCCCCCCCTTCCCCTCC